CTGAGATAGCAGGTCCAGCCTGCCCTCTCCTGGCCCCATCTGTGGAGGGAGGGGTGGGCACAGGGCCTGTGAGCCTCCTGCTCTGCCATTAGCATGTGCCTGGCTTGTGGACTACCGAATTAATACCGGGTCTGTGACTCAGGCTGAAAAGATCACAAGTTCCAGGCCACTCTGGGTAACTTAGACTGAAAGTGAAGACTTAGACAGTGGTGAGCCTTGGCTTCAATCTCAGGCACCGCAAGAAATGAAAACTAAGGAGAGCCATCCATCTGGACTGATACATAGAGAAACTGTCTGGAGAAACCAAACCAACCAAAAACCTGAGAGGCCTCTGCACCCCACCATTGTATCTGTCAGAGATTTTTTAAAGTTACTTTTTAGGCACAGGATGTGTGTGTACAGATTGGTGTGTGACTACGGCGCATGCCTGCCATGACACACTCATGGAGCTGAGAGGAGAACCCTGGGTATTTTTCTACCACACCTCATTTGGGTGAGGATCTCTTACACCAGGCTAGCTGGTCTGTGAACTGGAGATTCTCCCATCTGCTCCAGTCTCCTCATAGGAACACTGCAATTACAGGCCACCATGCTACACTGTCTGGCCTTTCATGGGTGCTGGGATTTGAACTGGGTCTTCAGTCTTGTAAAGCAAGCATTTTTTTTTTTTTAATACACTGAGCTGTCTCCCCAGCCCAAAAGCCTTTCTTGAAACACTACAGGATTGTACTTCTGTCACCTCCTGCTACAGACAACCTCACCACTCCTTAGGACACCCCAGACACTTGTTTGGGAGTGGGGCTCAGGGAAGCCACACACAGTAGCCATTGCTAACCAAGTCACTATCTGTTGGATTCCATCCCTTAAGTACCCAGGAGACACCAGTACAGCCACCCTGCTACCAGCCCCTTGTGGGCTACGCTGGGGAGGGGCCGTGTTATCCTGAGTTCTGGGGAAAGCCTGCCTGGTGGGGTCCTAATAGTATAGTCCCCAACCACCTCAGGGGGCTATGGTCAGTGTATTGTCAGCGCTGGCCCCATAGACACACCCTCTGTGAGCCCGTGTGGGTCTCCTCCTGGTCTTGGCTTTGTCTCCACTTGTACCAGCTCTCAATATGGTGTGAGAAACTGGTCCTTCTAGGAGAACGAGTCCTTTAGGATAGGCACCAAACCAGCGTGCAAAGGGTACTTATAAAGAAGCCTTTGGGGTTGGAGAGATTATTCAGGGCATAAGAGCACTGACTGCCCTTCCAGAGGTCCTGAGTTCAATTCCCAGCAACCACATGGTGGCTCACAACCATCTGTAATGGGATCTGGTGTCCCCTTCTGGCCTGCAGGCAGAACATTACATACCTAATAAATATTTTAAAAAAATCTTTTAAAGCCGGGCATGGTGGTGCACAACTTTAATCCCAGCACTCAGAAGGCAGAGGCAGGTGGATCCCAAGAGTTTGATGCCGGCCTGGTCTATAAAATGAGTTCCAGGACAGCCAGGGCTATGAGATAGAAACCCTGTCTCAAAACAAAACACAACCGTGACAAAGAGGGACAAATGACTGTTTACAGATAGAATTATGTGGCCAGATGGCCGCCTCTACCTCAAGCTTGCAGTCCACAGTCCTGGAAGCCAGTACACTCTACAGAGCTGACCCATCTGAAAGGCTGTGGACAGTGACAAACCCCAAGTGGCTGCTACTGCTAACGCCTAACATTGTCTCCTGAATATGGAGGTTCTGAGAACAAGAGAGAATTTTCGTGGCCTGTTGCTTGTCACTCCAATCCTGTTGTCATATGACCAGCCCTATGGCTATGTCCACTTTTTTTGGTTTTGGTTTTTGTTTTGTTTTTGGTAAGAGCCAGGCTCTTGCTGTGTTTTCCAGCCTGGCATGGAGTTCCTGGGCTCCAGTGAGCCTCATTTCAACCTCCTGAGTAACTGGGACTACAGGTATACAAGCAGGTATATGAGATACACATGAGCCGGGCCTTTAATCCCAGCACTCGGGAGGCAGAGGCAGGCGGATCTCTGTGAGTTCGAGGCCAGCCTGGTCTCCAGAGCGAGTGCCAGGATAGGCTCCAAAATTACACAGAGAAACCCTGTCTCGGAAAAAAAAAGAGAGAGAGAGAGAGGAAACCAGGGCAGCATGCTTCATAAGTACTGTACCACCATGGCACCCTCTGGCCCCCAATTTTTTTTTCCTCCGAGGCAGGGTTTCTCTGTGGCTTTGGAGGCTGACCTGGAACTAGCTCTTGTAGACCAGGCTGGTCTCGAATTCACAGAGATCTACCTGCCTCTGCCTCCCGAGTGCTGGGATTAAAGGGGTGCAGCACCACCTACTTGGTTTGGTTGTTCTGAAGCTGTACAGAGTCCTAGTGACCCGGACAGAGGAAATGTTCCTTGCTAGACTTCCTGGAGCTCATCTTGAAGGCAGCAGCTTTCCGTCCACCACATATGTGACTCAGGGACACCACCCCTGCAAGTGTGTGCTGGCAGTCAGCCCCAAGGGCTGCAGGCATCACTGGTCCCGGACAGACAGAGGGTCTCATCTACTCTGCCCATTGCAGTAGCAGGAGAGGCACACAGGGCACTTAGAATCCTTCTGGTTGGTGACAGCCAGCTCCTTGGCCTGTGCGAGATCACACAAAAGCCCTGTGGTATGTGGGGACTAAATCCTGACATCCTGTTGGGTTTGGCAGACACACAGTTTCAAGATAGAGTAGGCAGGATGTGGTGAGCCATCTGCTATAAAGGTCAGTCTGGGCTACATGAGGGTCCACCCTGCCCAGAAAACAACACCGGCGGCACTCAGCAAATACTTCAGCTTCCGGTGGTGCTCTTGGTCCTCCAGCTCCAGTCTATGGTGGTCTTGGCTGCTCCCAGACCCAACTCTATGAAGAAGCAAGTGCAGCCTGCACCTGGGAAAGGAGACATCCGACCCCCACGCAGCCTGTTCTTCAATGGGACCTGATGGAGTCAGGAAGCCCTGTC